AGCTTGTGATACCCACCCACCCACCCACCCATCGGTTAATTTACAAGGTGAAAATTTACCCTGCCTTCATCTCTAAGTGCCGTGTGCTTTCATTTACTGTCTCTGCAGACTGTCTGGGTTCTCACTTCACTTGGCTTCAGTCTATCTTCACTAACTTCCCTGCACTGCTCAATTTTGTGAACAAAATGAAGTGCGTGACTGGACTTTGTCCAAGGGATTTTGAAGACTACGGCTGTTCTTGCCGGTTTGAGATGGAAGGGCTTCCAGTGGATGAAACGGACAGGTGAGTTTTATCCACAGGCTCTTCTCTGGCCACAGCTCAAGTCTTGCTATTACAGTCTGAAACTTAACAGTTGGTTTGGCCCCTCTTGGGGTGGCCAGCTGATCCCGAACAATACATGAGGTACTAAAGCACTCAGTGGAGACGGGACTGGTGCCCAGTTTTTTCCGGTGAGTCTCTCAGAGTCATCCTCACTCTCACTGGCCCCGTTCAGCAAAGGAAGAAAGATAGAAACCCTAGCTTCAGACCTTGCAGGCAAGTATTACTATCACTAGGCACCTTCCTCCTTCTCCAGGCAGTGATCTGAGAGAGACCTGATCTCACAGGCGTGCTCTGCCAGTCCCAGCCAGGCGAGATCCCACTTGGTTTTGGGAGTGTGTTGCTTGGCAACATCTGGATTTTGTCCTTGAACATCTAAACCCACCTAAACTCTTATCTCCTGGCATCAATCTTAAGTTGCATGATCTTCGCTAGCCCTTGTGGATGGATGCTTAATAGTAATTCAGTCCATGTTCCCCCTAGCTGGACTAGTTAAAATAACCAGAGGCCAGGATGCATCTGAATGTTGCATTTTCAGATAACAAAAGAAGTGTTAAGTGTCAGAAAAAAGTGAAATAAAGACCAATCCCACTTGGAAAAAAAGTGCTACAGATGCACAAATACTCATCTGTGAAGTGAGCCACAGCCTCATGGTTCACAGAGGACTGACAGATTTACTTGGAGGAGGAGGAATACACTGTAGCCTCACAGCATCTAATGAGTAGGAAAACCAAATTTTCATTTCCACGCAGAAGAAAGTCACTGGACTCCTTGTGCTCCACGAATTGCTCTCTGAATGAATGCTCTGACAAGTCTGAAATCAGAGCTTGGTTCAGTTCAATGGTTCAATACCTGAAACAGCTCAATGGCTGCACTTCCTCCTGACCGATCACCGTTTCAGTGAAGCACTATGTACAGGCAGGAGCCGGAGAGGCTGCAGAATGAGCCGCCAAGAGTCTCTGACCTGGCAAAAGACTCCTAGAAACACTGTCTTTTCAACCAGGTGGCTTCAGAGTGGGGTTGTCACATCTTAGTTGGATTTCTTCACTGGGTAACATGATGTCGATCAGGGCTGTCCAACGTCTGAGTAGCAGGGGGCCACAAGCAACCTGCCTACACGCCGTGTGGGCCACACACCGTGCTGCACTGTATGGCAGGTACCTGTCCCCTCCCTCCTCTGTACTGTGAAACAGGTGCCCCACTGCACTGTGCCAGCCCCCATCCAGCATGCGGTCCTTGGGTTCCCCTGAGCCACCCGACCATGGGCCGCCTCAGCCCTACAGCCCTGCCCTCAGGGATGGGGACAGGCAGAGAAAGCCAGAGGAGGGAGGAGACTCTAGTGGCAGCTGCAGGAGCTGGAGCAGCGTAGAGAGAAGCTCCAGGATCGACACTGCTGATTGACTTCTCAGGGGCAGCACACATGGCCCAGGGGCTTCCAGGTGGACAACTCTAATATAGATGGTTTGATTTCCTATTACTATATACAAGACATTGCCCAGGTTTAGATAGGACCTTGAAAGAGACACTGACACAGAGAACTACCTGCTGTGGGACAGTGCGGATAGCATGTTGGACACTCCCAGGAGCTGTGTGCTTCAGGAGTTACTGCTGCCTGCCCGTTTCCCACTTCATTTTTATCTCCTGATCTTCTGTTGCAAGGCACAAAAGGAAAACAGAGCTGCCAAAGCCCAAAGAATCACAGCTCGAGCTGGCATTAATGTTAAAGGTCTTGGTTGCCTTCTCCACTGTGCCGACCTTACGTTAGCACAACGGCATTGAAGGCGGAGCTGTACTGTCATAAAAGCAGTGTCACATAGGGGAAAACCAGGGACCACGGCTTGGATCTTTAGATCATAAGGAGACAGATAAAGCTTTGCCCTGGACTAGCACCTTCCATCCATGGGTCTCATCACACTTTACAAATAGTCATGAATTTGGCCTGACAGCAGTCAAAATGGTGATGGTGATGGTGATGGTGATGGTGATGGTGATGATGATGATGATGATGATGACAATGTCAGGGAAGGAAGTATCCTCTTCTTCCCCTTCTGGCTGAGAAAAGAGATTGTGACCATTGCCAAGGATGCTATAGGAAGTCTTTGGCAGAACTCAAGGCACCACTTCTCATCATTTTCAGTCTCACCAAGCTCTTAAGGTTAAGCATGTGCCTAAAGCACTTTGCTGGACAAGGGATTCAGTCCCCAGGCCTGCCTCCCTTTGTCCAAGATAACTTTCCCTTTCTGCTTAGAAAATTTGCTGAGCACAAATCCTAACAGAAGCACGTGGAACAATCCCACGAATAGAGTGAAAGGTAGCACCAAAAATATGTGGTGTCCTTATATCCCCCTAGCCTTCCAGCTATAAAGACCCCTTAACCAGCCTATGTTTGTTCTGCTTTGCATTGTTCTCCCATTTACAGACAGGTGCCTGTAATTGTGTCAACTCTGCAAGAGCTTAGTTCATTCAGATTTTGTAGATCCATGTGTATTTAAAGTGCTCAGCATTGTTTGCATATACAGTGCTCTACAGCCACTGCCAAAAGGCTCCAGTGATGCTTGCAGTAAGGATTTCCTTGATTAGTTAATGCAAAAGACAATTTATTCTGCAGCTCACCCACTTTGGCTTGACCTGGGAAACCTAATACAGTTAGTTGTCTGTTGAGCTGAAGAAATGAGTCAAAGTTTTTTTCCTACCAAGCTTGTCAGGTCACTGTGGCCTTTGTGGAAAATGTTCCTGGTCTGAACATGATATGCCGGTGTAATCGCACCATAATAAGGTGCCAGCAGAGAGGTAGCAAAAGGATACCAGAGAGCTGGAATAATGGAGTCTCATCTGGCAGGTCGAACAGTCCGAATTTGTTAGAACAAAATGTTTTCTTCTGTGCTCTGCTCCTTTTAGTGCTTCCTGGGTATTTTAAAGGAGGCTGAGCAACAAGAATATATATTGCCCAGCATCAAAATGTACACGACCCAAACAGATTTTCCCAGCTAAAACCTCCCCCCTGCTGAATGGGACAACCCTGACCACAGGCAACCATGGGCTGTTCATTGCATCAGGCAACCCCCATCATCCATGTCCTTTGTACCAAGATAGAAAAGTCTCTTCTCAAGCCATGTCTGGGACCTGCCTTTTTCCCTGGTTGCCCAGAGCCATGAAGGTAGCGTTCGAGTCAAACCATTTCCTTCCCTGTGTAGATCAGACGTGGTAAGGAGGATCAGAGCGAGAGGACAAACAAGAACCCCCAGGTAGCAGCAATCCATGTCTGCCAACACCGCCACCATAATATTTCCTTTCAAGTATCCCTGTCAGACAGATTCATACACTCCTGTCCCCAAGGAAGCGGAGAGAGGGACCAGCAAGCGCCAAAGCGGCGTGGCTGTGACAGTGCAGGGCCCAAGGACAGAGGAAAAAGTTGCACCTCCCTGATAAGTCTGGATGCTCATTCATTTGCCAGCACTGGCCTGTCCTAATTTGTGCTTCAGCTGCTGTGACTCTTACTGCAGCCAGAGAAGAGCTGGGGAACTGGGATTTTCCCTTCGGGGCCGACCACACCTCTACCCTGCTGTGCCCAGCCTAGGACATCTATTCAGCCATCAGGGCCCCTCCATCTGTGAGGGCCAGCAGAATGAACTCCTATGTCTGCCAAATAGGTAGAGGGAAAAGAAGAGTCCCCCAGCTCTTCAACTGAGCCCCACACACTACACAACCACTACTGGAGCACAGCCACTCCAGACTGGGGCCCAGAACTGGGACAAATTAAAGACCATGATTTTAATTGCTCTGTTTTTGTTTTTTGTTTGTTTGTTTGTTTTAATTAAGCTGCTGTTTCCAGCACCGCAAATGCTATGAAGAAGCAGTCGAGATGGAGTGTATGTGGGATCCTGCAAAGATTTCGACAGATTTCAGCTGTCTTACCAAAAACCTCACCTGCAGTAAGGTTCCTATAACCTGTCATTAAGCTGATGGGTGGGGGGCGGCGGGACGGGCTGTGATGGTCCCCCTGTATTTATGGACCATCAGGTAGCAATCACATACGGCTAACATTCAAGATGGGAGTGGCTATTCTGGTCAGATCTGAAGATAAGCTATTCAGAGATATCAATTTGCAAGTGAATGTGAGAACAAAACCCAATCAGTACTAAATCTTTCTGGGCCCCTCTTTTGCAAGAAACCAGAACTAGCCTATTCCAGGGGCGTTCTCTTTCGAAGACTATTTGAACTATGTCTATACTGCAGAAAATACTGTGGTCAGCAGCGGTGGTCTCAAGCCAGCTGCACTGCTCAGGGAAGGCTGCCTCTGAACTGAAAGCAATGTAGTTGTGTTCGCTCAGCCCCCACCTCCCCAATCCTGGCACCAAACCCAGCAGACTGGAAGAGCCAGCCCTTTCTTTTAAAGAGACACCCAGGCCTGATCAAAGACTTTGGTACTGGAGAACTTACCACGTTCCTTGATAAGACATAGCAGCAGCTATTATCGTTCTCAGGTGCTCTTGGTTTATAGTATTGCTGCTTCTCATATTTCTCATTCTTATTTTTTCCTGTGCAAGCTCAACTAACTTGCTTCTACCACCCAGATCTCAGCCCACATTTCCTTTCTAATGCCCAGCTACTAGGACTCAGTTTTAGTTTATAAGTACAATACATGAACGTGAAAGCACATTTGCTAGCAAGACACTAAATGCCAATGGCTGCCACAGCCTCGTGTGTAGCTGGACTCCCAACATTACTATGTTATTAGAGCTGCATGGTGGGAAGTATTTCCAAAATGTTGATCTCTTCATCCAGGGCAGAGCAAAGGGCCATTTTGGTATCTTTGTAAGGGAAAAGGACTCCACTCAGCTCTGGTAAAAGCTTAGCAGATGCTACCATCGTGTTGAGAAATGCTCTGTTTGTTCATTCTTATTTTTTACATTGCAAAAATCATTCCCACCAAGAACTAGTCCTCAGAAAAATCTACTTACCAGAATCTAATCCCAGTTTTGCCAGTGTAAGTGGTCAGTAACAGTAACAAAAAAAGAATTATTCTGCCATAAAACCTGGTTTAGGTAAACAGCCAACCCTATTTTCCTTCTTTATTTCAAATGAGACCATTTTTGCTTTAGTTTTGCTTTGAAACAGGAAGAGTGTTTTTTCAACTGTCCCTTACTTGAAAACGGAAAAGGGATTGTTGCTCAAATTAAAATACATAAACGTGGTCCTCATTCCAAGTATGATGAGCATGGAAATAAATTACTTCTCCAAAATATGTTTGTCAAAGAATTATTAGCATGGGGGAAAATAATATTTCAACGTCACTGTTTTGCAAACCTTTTTCTAGTATTCTGTGATATGCCCCTACTGCACATACAAAAAGATCTGTACCATGTCCCACCTCCAGCATGTCATGGCCAATAATGGGTAATGTTCTGTGTTTGACAGACCTTTGAAACACTTGACGGCATTTACTGATAAATTTAATAAAAAAAAATTCCCTAGCACAATTCAACCCATTGGATTCATTTCACTTTAAAACCGGTAGAAATACAGAATGAATCTGTGTACTAGACAATGAAATGTAACTGTTGATGGAAACTTTACAGGGAATCAAAGGCAGATGGTGGAAACCGATATCTCAATAGCACCTTGTTTGAATTGTTTTGTCTCCAGGATCTGGGGATCCTTGCGAACAGTTACTCTGCAACTGTGACAAAGCTGCCATTGAATGTTTTGTGCATTCACGCATTAACTCTTCCTTGAATGGTCTGGATGTCTCCTTCTGTCCCACTCTGGTTACAGGTAATAATCAAAGGGCCTGACCTAATGCCCATTCAGGTCAATGGGAAATCTTTCCACTGCCACAAATGGGTACTTAATTGAACCGAAAAAGGACAGCACTGGCAGTGGCATTTTGGTTTCTTATATCTGGCAGTGTGTCCTCTTCTCCATTTCGTGCATTATTCCCATTTGCTGCTGCTCAGTGAGTGCTAGGAAGAGAAGAGTGGATTAAACAGGGCGCTTCTATGTGAATGTTGCCAGGCTGGGAGGTTGCAGTTCTCTCCCCATTCCTAGTAAAGAGAAGACATTCCCCACGCTGCTCAGCTCACCTTGGCTTGGCCTCCGAAGGATGAAAGGGGCATTCATCTCCATTCTCTTCCCCGACCCATCCTCCCCTGCTGCCAATTTTGGCGCTCATTTTATTAGTGTGAACACCTGCTCCGTGGGAACTGGATGGAGATCAAACACTCATTTCAGATGGATTGTGATCAGGTCACAAGATAGCCAGGCTCTTCAGGCACTCCCAGCATGGGCTAGATTTGAACAAACAGCATCAGCTTTTCCAATAGCTCAGCTCCCATTCATATGACTTAATGAAGCAGCCAGATATTTAAAAAAAAAACCAACCCCCCCCGCCCCGCCAACCTGCATGGGTGAGTGGGTGTGTGCAAATGTACTTACATATACTCTCATACAGAGGCAGAAAAGACATAGAATGGGACAGGGCAAGTTAAAGACCTTGAGGTTGTTGTAACACTTAGCTCATTTCCACAGCATCTTTTTTTTTTCTCCAAAAACTTCAAAGTAATTTTGAAGTATCAAAAAGATGAAGTTGTTGACAGAATTAATCCTGGAAACAGCATGAGACGCAGACAAGTATCATCTTTCCATTATAGGCAAGGAAATGGAGATGAGATGACTTTCCCAGGTTAGTCAGGACCTTCTGTCTCAGGCCAGACGCTGAGGTTGCACATCTCTGAGCGACAGCACTGCAGGAGCAGTATACTGCAAAAACAGTGGGAGGGGGTGAGAAGGCGGCAAGGAACTACTCCTGTTCTTCCTACTGGTGATGAAGGCAGTTCAGTGGGACCTCCACTCGCTGAAAATGAAGGGAGTCCCTATTATATGTCCTGGTGGGACAGAGCTCATAAAAGGAAGCATTTTTATTCTTTCCTGACCCCAAATGTGGTGATGGTTTTGACCCTTAGCTGCAAAGCAAGACACTAGCCAGGTACCCATCACACCAGCAGTCAAACCCCCTGTCTTAAATAGGGATCAGTGATTCAGAAGAATAAGCCAACGTTCAGTGAATCAAAAGGAGGCAAGGCAAACGAACATTGCAGTAGGGTGGTCTGTCCCTGTCGGAAGGGGTCGCCAGCCCTATTAAGGCCTTCTGCTTTGACCCGGTGTCCCACTGAGAGGTCAAAACCCCAGAGGACAGAGCTGAGAGGAAGCAGAACTGCAAGTTGCAAGGGGAAAAGAAAGGCTGTGAGCTGAACAACTTGCTGCACGGGGGGGCCAGGTGTTGGGCCCTGAGCCAAAGGCTTTCTTCCTACTGCCTGGGTTAGGATGGAAGGATTTGGGTTTTTGTTGTTGTTTGCTTGCTTGCTTGCTCTGTACCTAAA